GGATTATGCAGCAACGGCGACGAAAACAAAATTACGAAGTAGACTGGACATAAACCACACACTTGAGGTGTCATTGTCTCTCCTATTACCCCGAGATGGGACCGTCTGGTTGCAGAAAATCAAGCTCGGTGCTGTGGTGAGTCGTCATTTTCATGCACTTTGAATTTGCGTTGTATCGTATTTTGAAGGCATTAAACATTGCCATAGCGATCGGAGTGTTGCGGCCAGATTAGACGCTCCTTGTGTTTATTATTATATTTCGAAAACACCACAGTTTTTATGCAGCTCATACCATATTATTTTGTTGTATTATTTCCGCCACACCTTAAATGCCGGTCCCTGAAAATATTGTCTGACATAAACCGGTCCGTGGGGCAAAAAAGGTTGGGGGCCCCTGCATTACAGTACTTTAATGAGATTGAGCTCTACATATGACTCAACTAGAATTACTGGTTTAATGACTTATACATCTCTAATGTACAATATTTAGACCCTATAAGGTCTATGCTTTCGTTGTCGATTAGCTTTATATTTGCTGTTTTTTTAGTGTGTTTATTTCAATTGTTTGATCATATGAGATTGTCAATTTTTTTTTTGTTTTTGCATTTCATCACATCAAGCTAGCATCGATTGTGTAGACAAAAGACAAAAGTTTCAGTGTTGTCACTTGAACCATGCACTGTATATGCAAGCAATGACAAGTTTGAGTACATTATATGGCCAAAATACAGTGTACATTTGGCCACTTCAAGAAAATGCTAAAGAGCAGCAACTACTTCAAATTACCAAAGTGAGAAGGAAGTGGTTGTATTCAGATGAAAGATCATTCGTGAATGACTTCAATTAAATAATTTCCTTTGTCTACTCTAAAAAGTGACAAACTCGTACCTGCAGAGAATTACCGGTAATGTGCCATATCATGTACCTCTTTGTAAATAGATTGAAGGCGTCCAAAGTGTCCCCAGACCTCTCTACAGAATGAGCATCTTTGGTTGCATCCATGTTTTCTTCTGACTAAAATACATCCAGTAAGAGTCATCTGAAAAGTGAAAATAGAATCACTTAATCCCTTCCTTTGCAGCATGACAAATTCAAAATTCAAAATACTGTAGCGACGCCACTCTAGTGAAGCGCGACTGCTTTGATCTACGACAACATACCTTTCTTGAGTTTTCAGCTAATGATAAAAACATTAAGCGGGAATAAAACACATGCCTTTCGTTACAATTAGTAGGGTCAATTGCTACCAAATACATTTCATTAAAAGCTTCTTACTGGTGTGAGAATGGGAAGCGAGCTCGGCGTGACTACACTCCAACTTGGTTGAAATAGTGATGAAAAAACTATTTTCAATATTCCTTTACGGTCTTTTTATATTTTTCAGTGAGTTAATTATTCACTTATGAAAACGCCTTAAAAGTGAGTCAAAAAAAGACCGAAACTAACCGAAAATAATTCGATGTATTGCTGCGTAGGAAATGACTCACCGATGACACAAACAGAAGGAACTGCTCAGATAAAGTAAGTACATTACCGTAGAAGGGAAAATGTAAATGTCTATTCGAACAGTCGAAGCACGGTTTCTTTTTCTGCCCTGTGTCCTGGTTAGCAGAAGAGTGTAGGAAGCATCTCCTGAAGAGAATATGCCGATGCAGCAAGGTGGCTAACTTGAAATGTTCCTCGAATATTAGTTCCTGACAGGTGTCATGAATAAAAATAAGTCTGAACAACAGCTTCTTTATTGACTCTAACTTGTTAAAAGTTAACATGTTCTGTGGACTCATCACCCAAAATTCGCGCATTACTTCAGTAGTCGTGTACAATCGAAAGCTTTGGACAACCGAATGAGTAACTTTTCCTGCACCTTCACAATTTCGCTGCGGACAAAGCGGCTTTAAATTTCGAGAGCCCCGAAACATTTCAAAGACAAAAGCGAAATATTCACAAGTGTAAAAAAAAAATACAAAAAACAAAATTGCACGCACTTACGTGATGTGACTCCAGCAAACTCAACCACAAGGAAAGGCGAGTACAACCTGAAAAGTTCAGCCAATTAGACGCCGACGTACTTCTCGACATTTTCACTCTTCAAGAGACATCCGATTGGACAATAGTGTGACTGAAGAGACACATCATTGGACAACAGAGAGTCAATCAACTTGCGAATCAATACAGGTAGGAATGAGGCTTTTCGAAACAGCAAATTTTTTATTTTCAGTTATTTACAGAGGCAGAAAAAACGCACACGCATCTACAATTGCAGAACAAATCAATTAGACTCATTTTACTTGTGGATTTCTTAACATACAATATGATACCACTCTCTAGTTTGAAGACACACTACATTTTGTCATTTGCAAATATTACACTTATCAGTACTTAACCAAGAAGATTTTGTGACTGTTGAGTTGTGTATTGCTATATGGCTCTGCAGTCCAGCACATTATATGCCATTCCCCTTCACTTTTTTCTCCAATTTGTTATTGATCTGCCTTAGCTGGTCCTGTGCTCTCTGAATATTTTTGGTCTGCAGTAGTAGAGCTGGTAAACTGGATGCACCATACTGTAAGAGTAAGAAGAGAGAGAATACGATGTGTCACTGTGGGTGCTTATCACGTGTTCAACTGTGTGTGTTCATACTTTCTCTTTCTCTTTCGGATGTGCAGTCCGGTAGTCCAGATACACTTTGGTGAGTTGTCTAATATCTTTGAGAAAAGCCTGGCTTCTTCGCAGATCTTCCAATCTGAGTTTGAGTTCAGCTTTCTCCTTTTGCAGCAGGCTCACTTGTCTCTCTGCCCTATTGGATAACGTAGTGTTACTGTCCAGGTCGGTAAATTATTGGCTATATGAAACTAGATATAAGACAAGAGTTCCTGAGCAAAACAACAAAACCCTCAATTTAATGAGATTGTTGAAAATCCACCCATCCATTTTCTAATCCGCTACACCCTGAACTGGTTGCCAGTCAATCACAGAGCACACATGGAGAAACAACCATTCGCGCTCACAATCACACCAAGGGACAATTTACAGTGTTCCATTAACCTGCCATGCATGTTTTGGGAATGTGGGAGGACATGCAAACTCCTCACAGGAATCGAACCCTGCAACTCTGCACCATGAGGCGGACGTACTAAAAAGTCAACCAAGGTGCAGCCCATTGATGAAAATGGATGGAATAATTTCATTAATTGTTAATAATAAATCATGTTGATTATATGAATGGATGAAAAAAAATGGATGGGACGTTGTACTGTGGATGGAAATGCCTCACCTAATTAGCTCATGCTTGGCATCCAAAAGTTTCTGTGTCTTTGCACGGATCATGGAGCATACCTGAAACACATATGCGTAAAAACTACAAAATGATGCAATGTAGTTTACAGTCACAAAGTGGTCCTAAAAAAATTATCTTCCTGTAAGTTAGTCAAGGGATTTAAATTGTGAGAAGTTGCTAAGGTTTTATTTAAAATCATCAATAACACTAATCACTAATCACATTGAGCCCACTTGGCTACTTGAGAGTGCTAAGATTCGTACTCCAGATCGGAGGATATGTCCATTCATCATATGTGAGAAAATGCACAGCAAATTCATGATTAATGCTAAAATTCTATTATTTCAACAGAAAAGTGCTGCAAAAAAATAAATTAATAAATCCATAAAAATGTAGAGTCTCAGCGATAAAACTTATTGTCCTGGTTACCTTGGCGTTTTCCCGTTTCAGAACCTTAAACTCTTTATAGGAGGCAATCTGAAAGACAATTGCGACACCAGAAAAGATACGTTCATTCTTGCTATTCAGATAGAGCTCTTCCTGCTTTCTCCCAAAACAGGCAGAAAGTAGACTGACCTTTTCAAGTAGTTGCTCCTTGACATTGTTGGAGAAACAATCAATAGACTGCTTGACTGCATTAGACTCCACAGAATCCCTACAAAAGAAACCGTTAATATATTGCCCACATGCAATTGTGTCATAAAAACTGTATTCACAAATCTGTGCGATAGCAAGTAAAGGGTTACAGTTGCAGACGTTTATACAAACTGCTCATTTGGAAGCTCTTTAGAAATTTACTTGTACTCATCACAGAAACCCAGGAAGGCCTCCATCACCACTTCCAACTCTGTTTCTCCTCCAGATCTTTTCGTCCTTTTCTTTTGAACCCTTCGGGTCTTGTCTGCTTTGTTAAAGAAAGAGGTATAATGAATTAATAAATCACAAATACCCGTCAAACAACTGGAGAAAGTTTAAAAAGAAACACATAGTTTTGGTTGTCATTTGGCAAGAAGCAAGTACACAAAGGCAGATGCTGTTTTAAACATACATTTTTTTTAAATAAATACTTTGTAGATTTAAGTAAATAGCAGCTGATAAAGAAAATGGGCACATTTGAAATATAACAAAAAGTTGAGACATCTTGGGTTTAGTACCCTGTAAACAGTATGCCACCATGACAGTCAGAAGTCAAAATGTGCTATCCAACAATTTGTTGAAACAACAAGGTGCCATCAAATTTAATAACTGCGAAGTATAAATAAGTCATTGGCCCTTTACCTGCGGACAACTTTTTGGGGCGTCTCTCCACACTTTTTAGTTTTGCTTTCTTTGGGCTTGGGTTCTAATTAAATCAAAATGAAGCACAAGATTAGAATGAGACGACTAAACCGCAGAAATAATTATATTGACAAAAGTGCGTACCCAGCTTGGGTCCTCATCTGTGTCATCATCAAAGGACAGGACTTCATTTTGTTTCTTTTTGGAGCCAGCGCCAGGGTCTGATTCTTCCTGAGGACATACAGTACATTTGGCATCATCATCATCATCATCATAATCATCGAAAGCACACTGCAGAAACTCAAATTCTCAATGAAATACATTATCAGTACCACAAGCATGGTGCATAAGATTCTTTTTGGAGAAGACAGCTTCTTTTACAGCACCTGTGAATCACTTGACCTTCTGTTGGCTGGACCACTCTTCTTTTCTACCTTTGCTAGCTCGTCCTTCCGAGGCCTGAAAGAAGGGACTAACTGTGAGTACTGCAAATACAGATACATATACAATGTTTGAAGTGTAATGATTTGCTGGTCAAACAATATTGTGAATTTGACCTAAATTTGAGACAAATTTAGTTAGAAAACCATACAGAGCAGAAATAATTGCTCATGCGCATGTCGTTCACTGTCATTGTTCCATTTGTTTCCACATATTGTATGCAAGTTTCATAGTAATGGGAAAATGAAGCTGCTTTGATGCTTGTAGATGGCACTCTTTGTTCAATATAGGGCTTGCCATTTATTAAGATCCTTTCTTTAAACCAACTCAGCATGAGACATGATTTTTAATTGGATGTTTTTGTGCTTTCTACTATTTTTGTGAGTTATTGTTTGATTGTTTTTTATTTGTAGGAATGGCTGCACATGGTCGACTGGTTCGCACGTCAACCTCAGTGCATAGGTGCAGGGTTTGTGTTTGGCTCCGGCCTTTCTCTGTGGAGTTTGCATGTTCTCCCAGTGCCTGCATGGGTTTTCTCCGGTTTCCTCCCACATTCCAAAACATTCAAGGCAGGTCAATGGAAAACTCGAAATTGTCCCAAGGTGTGAAGTGTGAGCATGAATGGTTGTTTGTCTTGCGTGCCCTGCGATTGGCTGGCAACCGGTTCAGGGTGTCCCCCGCCTACTGCCCGAAGACAGCTGGGATAGGCTCCAGCAAGCCCGCGACCCTTATGAGAATAAGCAGATCAGATAATTGATGGAAGTTGTATCAATTCTTTTTGCTCCATGCAAAGGACTTTGTGTACAGTGCTGGTTGTTTTAAAGTGCTCTATAAGTACAGGTGAGTTGGGTTCAGAAAATTGATGTGCTATTTTTGTTCTGTCACATATTCATCATTATGCTGATCTTGAGAGCTGAATGATGGTTAAAAAATGCTTGAAACCCTTTGGTTTTTGCATATGTCAATGTATATACAGTATCAATGTGTAATTCAAATTTACATAGTGATCTGCAATCATTAGTTTACATGGCTTGGCAGAACCTACCTGGTTTTGACGATGTTTTTTACTTTCTGTGTGATGTTCTTCCCCACTTGACTTTTTGCCATCTGGGTCACCTTTGGCGAGCTCAGATCTTCTTCTATGGCAGTACTGTGCAGAGGGTTACCTAGGGAACACATTGCAGCATGAGCCTGTTATTCATTCTGGGTGCTTAGAGGTTGGTCCATAAGTTTTTGGACACTGTTCTCTTGATTTGACTGCTGCACATCTCACCAATACTTGGCTGGTGGAAAGATAAGATAAGATAAGATAAGATAAGAAAACCTTTATTAGTCTCGCAATGGAGAAATTCCCAATTCACAGCAGCAAAGTTATGAAAGGAAGAAGTAGAACAACAAAATATAGGAGCTGCTGGAAAGGCAGCCACTCTCGCGGCGCCATTTTGAAGTCAAAATAACAAAAATAACACAACACAACACATAGGACACAAGACAGTCGTGCAATCTTCACCACTTTTCTGCATACACTTTGTTGTCTGAAGTTGCACGCAATTTTAATAGTGACATGGATTTGCCTTTTAAACACTCACCACTTTTTTGCTGAAGACCTTCTATGAAACTGGCACAACCAATGGTAGATTGGTTGTCAGAATCCAGAGAGGATGTTTTCTGGATGCCAAACATGGGGAAAAAAAGACTTTCTTGCATCATAAAATTTGAGGAACAGATTTATTTGAGTATGATCATGTATTTCTATTGCACCTTGTTGCCAACTGGTGCAACGGGCACCACAGTGCCTCCTCTGCCCTTTCTGGTACTGTGGAAACAAGGTGTTTATTTACAGTACTTCTCATTCATACCATTTCACATTCAAAGTTCAGGGTTTGGAAAAGTAGGCAATGTTTAACATTACAGTCTAGACAAATAAATGGCCTTTTAAAACCAAAACTGAAATCAGTTAATACATTTGCAGCACATGTATCTACTGTGAGCTCATCTGGCGGGGTCTGAGAGAAATTATCCAATTAAATGCTCTGCCACTGGATGTCTGGCTCAGCGGGTACATAATTAACCTGTGAATCCACTTTTTGAGACGTTTTTGTTCGTGCTGTGGCTGAGTTGTTTCAAATTCAGTGATTCCCAACCAAGGGGATTTGAGAGCGGTGCCATACAATTTCACTTCATTTGTCACAAAAAGATTAACCATCTTTGCCAGCGATGTAAAGTGACATCCAGAACCATTAAATGTTCTTCTATTAGATGGCAGAAGATACAATAAACCTGTTACGATTCCTGTAACTGAAAAATCAAAATATGCCGCTAATCAACATGCGGATTCCACAATACAGGAAAATATTACGCCTGTTTGTCTCACTTCGATTAGGTGACTTGAATATTCAATTTTTCAATCATAATTCATTTTTATGCAACACATGATAAAAACAAATAAGTAGTAGTAACTAAAAAAGCCCAAAGTAGTAGTAACTAAAAAAAAAAAGCCAAAAGAACCACAGGCATTCCCGTCATTACTGAAAAGAAAACTATCAAACATTACGTTGGCATTTTTACGAGGGCGTGTTAATCTGCGTGGGTATTAGTCTGTTGCCAATCAAACATAAGGTCCTAATCGTAAATTTATCTCACCTCATCTTGGAGTTTAAAACGAGTTTGAAGGACTGATGTAGGCAAACAAAATTCAATCCAAACTGACAAATCTTCCCGCAAAATGACTTGACTTCCGGGTTATACCATTCCTAATATTCGGCGGGTGTAGTCGGAAAGAAAAAAATAACATTACAACGTTGAATTGTGGTTTAAATCATTAGGCATGGAACTGTATAATATGCTTGTCGTTTTGTCATAAATATAATATTTGGGGGAAGAAAGTTGTACATGATAGCCAAAATAAAATGCATCTCAAAGTCAAAATGTAACTGACATAATGTGGCATTAATTATTCATTCTCCGCAATAGGTTCTGAGTTTTGTGAATATAGACTTGGATTTCGTCTGTAAGATTAAAAAGGTCTTTGACTCTAGAAAAGGGTCCGACTTGAAACCAATATCAGTGCTTGGAACAGTAACTGTGCTCGCTGTGACGCGAAATGTCCGTTCAAAAATGGGTCCTACTAGGAACAACGAGAGAACTACAGAAGCCGCAAAGTTAGAAAGAAACACGCCAACAACTCGATTAATTTGTTTTAATTAAAAACTTACATTGTCAATACATATGAATATAGTAAAATTAATTATATCAAGCATATGACTCATTTCGATTAAAAAGAAATTCAATAATTATATAATTCAATTATAAAGAAATCTAGACACATTTATATCACATTAGTTACAATTTGTTAAAAAAAAATCTAGATATTTTCCCTTTGTCCTGGAATTGTTCCTTTCCTGAGGTTCACGAGGTTAAAAATTCTGTTTTTTCTGTTAGTTGTTTCCTAAATCAAGCCTAGTCATAATATGTCCCAAAAAACCAAAACAATAATTTACTACAAATGGAATTTTAGTAGTGCAAGTGAATAATTTTTCAAAAATATGCAACAGTGTGGCGAATTTCCAGAGCATGGCCCATTCCGTGTTTCTCTTTTTTTTTTTTTTCAAGCAACAGATGGACTACAGTAAAACTCAATGTCAAAGGCAAACGGTAAGAAGAATAACACTGACTTTTTTTGGCTGCACAGATTCGCATTAGCTTCTGATAAGCGGCACTTATCAGTACTCAAATGTTTGGTTAAACTGAAGGGAGATATTACAGTTTGGCAACGTGTCCACATATGCACATCCCTCAACTACACTAACTGCCACATGTAATTGGGCGCCATGGTGATAACCCCTCTACAGTAGTTTGCTGGTGTCTTGCATGCACTTTGTAGTTTGTACTCGCTTTTATAGACCCGAGGTCAAGAACTCTGCTCCTAATAGCCGTGGTAACAAAAACTGTAAGGGATTGGGCCCAGAGTAACTCAAACAGAAGACTTCTTCACCGGATGCTAAAAATTGATTTGTAGTGTATTACAGTATAATTCCTGATTCTTGAGTGTTTTGACAAAATCATATCACAGACATACATTTAAGACATCAGGGACAAGGTAATTGTGGGAATAATTAATGTCTTTCGTTAAAAGCTACATCAAAGCACGTGAGGTCTGAAGTAAAAAAAAAAAAAAAAAAGTAAGAATTTGGAGTGAAATGGCAATTTCCAATATTTGGTGTGCGTGTTCCTGTTCCTGCTTTGTTCTCGGCCATCTTTCCAGTCATACTTCTTCCTGATCTTCTACATCTTGATGCCGGCATATAGCTCATCTATCTGTGATCTGAAGTATTGTCTCAATTCGTTCCTCTTGGCTTTCAATGTTGGCGTGAGCAGACCATTGTTGACAGAGAACAGCTCAGTATGGAGATATATGGCCTTCACCTGAAAGACACAAACATAAAAATGTGGTTGCAAAAGTCAACCACGTCAACAAAACAACAACAAAGCATACCGGTTAAATGCAAACATCAACTGTCATGAGGGTCCATAATTGTCATGATTCAGTTTCTGTTCGTCTCCAACAGGTGGCAGAGGTGTTCCGGTCTGTCCAGCTGCGGACCGTTACCCATCATATGATGAACGGATTAATTAAGGACTTCCAAGCTGACAACTGACTCTCGGAAAATTCGCCTTGCTTAATACATTGTTCATGTGCAGTTTTGCTCCGTTTTTCTCGTTCCTGGTTTATTGCTCTCAGTTTTCTTGTCAGTAGTCATTTAGTTTGGTATGTTAATTTCGCTGGGTATTTGTTGTGATTTGATTCTCTTGTCCTTTTGAGCAATTTCCATTTGCATTTTCCTTGCCTTTTGCAAGTGCTTTTTGTTTATCTCGTTTTGTCCCGGTGTGTTGACCAGCGTCATTATGTGTACTTTGTCAGTCTTGCGTTGGTTATTTAATAAACCTTTATTGGACCATAACGTTGTCTTTATCTTTAATAAACCTTTATTGGACCATAATCTTGTGCTTATCTATGTATGTAGGATTGACCCCTATTTGGCTAATTCCGGATAATTACAATAATGAGTTTTATACCTGCTCAAATGACTTGAGACCTGCTTCCTTGCCAAGTCGCACCATGTCCTCCAAGATGGCTGCCTTGACATCCTGCATAGACAGAAAAGAAGTCTTAATCAATACAGTAGTACAATCAAGCTGCTGCTCTGGTAAGAAACATTTTTTGACTGAATAGTAATACGCTCTAGCGAAGGAGTGGGCAAATCCAGTCCTCGAGGTCGATCATTTGAATTAGGTATGTTGGAGGAGGGGGACATTTAAAATGTTCAGGTTACCGGCCTTCGAGGAGCGGAATTGACCAACCCTACTGTAGCGGTTGGTAAATGGAGGGCACATGGTCGTCACCATATTACTTTAAGAGAGAGAGACACAGATCACTCCCCATGAGAGAATACTCCATCAACTGCCACTGATACTATAAACAAAATGTATGGTAGTTATTACCGCTCTACTGCAAAGTGCATTGTAGCTGCCCTCCACTCCTATGGTCCTCTTGGTCCAATCACACAGAAAATCATGGTCTGGAACCACCACTGCTACCAGAAAAGCCTATGGAGTAGAACAAGAATACACTTTTGCAAGATGAGACGGTGCAAAGATTTTGGAATGACTACATGAAACACAATTGGTGGAACATTGGCACGTGAATTATTACATTGTGTAGTGATCATTTGACCAAACTTCACTTACTTGTAGACTGTCCCCATGCACAAAAACCTGTGCCACTGAGTCACTTCTCACATAGACATTCTCTATCCTCTCAGGAGCTATGTATTCCCCCTGAGCCAGTTTGAAGATGTGCTTCTTCCTATCCACAATCTTCAGTGTGCCGTTCTGCAAACAAATATTTCCATTACTGGTCCAGACCACCAGAGGTACTGAAAGGAAAGTAGATTCCAATCCCTACAGGAAGCCATTTCCCAATGTCTCCAGTGTGAACCCATCCATCAGCATCGATAGTCTCCGCAGTCTTCTCCGGATCCTTAAGGTAACCCTGGAACACGTTGGGACCTTTCACGCACACCTAAAACACACACAAACTGAGTTAGAATTGGGAATGCACGTTTGGTAAATTTTGACGGGTCTCTCACCTCTCCTTCGCCGTTTAGAGCCAGGTAGTTCATTTCTGCCACATCCACCAGCTTGATGGAGTTACAAGGCAGAGGAGCACCAACGTGACCTAGAAAATGCAAAAGCAATCCCTCACTTTTCTGCTGGTGTACAACAATAGTTTATTGTGAACTCAGAAAGAGTGTTACACCTCCAGTCCAGTCACCAGGCATGGTCATGGTGCAACCAGCGGTACACTCTGTCTGTCCATAACCTTCGTAGAACTGAGATTGAACAAAAGTGGGATTATTGCTACCACCGTAAGAGTGATTTTGTATTGCTCTTAATACAGTAACAATAGAAGATCATGTTAAACAGGGATTGTCATTGTGGTTGGTACAGACTGGATGCCAGAACTTGTTGCACTTGGTCCATGCGAGAGGATTTTATGCAAGACGGAGTTGTTACCTGACATCCTAACGCAGCTCGGAGGAAAGTGAGGACAGTCGGCGAGATGGGAGCAGCCCCTGTTATCATCAGACGTACGCAACCCCCAAGGCTAGCCTGGATAAAGCACAAGGCACTATGCTATTAATAATCAATATCCCTTAAAGCGGAAGTCAAGTAAAAAAAATATATTTGCAATAATATGTTCTATGTGCCCCCACTAGTCCAAACGGTATTCTGATTAATATAAAGACTCAAGAAGATCAGTGTGTTTGATTTCAGCTATCTCAAGGCGTAGCCATTTTGACCATCACATTGCCCTCTGCTGTCAGCTGGGAATAAAGCGTAAAACAAAAGAAGCTCAACTCACCTGAACCTTTCTGAAGATCAATGTATCCCAGATGCTGTCTCTCCTCACAATGCCCTTCATCATCTCTGCTTCCTTCCGACTATATGCAAAATTCAGCAGCCACCGTTTTACAGAAGTATTGGCCTGCCCAAAGATCTGAAAAAGTGCATTTTCATTTTACTTGAGGTTTTATCAAATAAACGAAAGTTTATTAATAAATAAAACTTATTAATAAGCTCACTCACCTTATCATACATTCGGTTTAGAAGTCGAGGTACTGCAGGAAACACAGTAGGTTTAAGGGTACAGAGATCATCCATCAGAAGACGAATATCTCCCTGGAAATATCCTATCTTGGCTCCCTGAACCATCATCACTCCCTATACATCCAAATTAAGGATCCAGAAGAACAATGCGGATGACAAATAAAATGGAAAGATACAGTGCTTAATACAATAATTACATCTGTCATTAAAAATGACAAGAAACAATTCGTGCTTTCATGCAGACTCTTGAATTGGGTACGTTTGCGATGTTTTACTATTTGAATAAAAATCAGAGGTCAGCACAGTAATCTCTTTGAGTTGTGTCTAATCGAAAATAACAAAACATACCTGTACAACTCTCTCAAACATGTGAGCTAAGGGGAGGAATGAAATATGGACATCCCTGGGACCCAACGGACAGGTGGCCTAATACGAACAAAGACGGCATTGCACAGGCATTCCCAATCACACACACACACACACACACACACACACACACACACACACACACACACACACACACACAGACAATTTGATAAATTCAAAGCAGTGTTGAACCTCTAAAGCAGTTCACCCTCATCAACTTGAGAACCAAAAGCAAAAATGAAAATCTGATAAACAGTAGCTAAATCGGTTTGGCAATAGGAGTGTGGGCAGTTTAGGATCTGCTACAGACCAAAAAATGAGGACAAGTACTGGTTCATTTCCTGAGTCACAAGTACGGTAACTGTGTTCTGGCTACTTCAAGGATAACACACAACAACAAGGAGCTGAAATCTTCTCGAACTCGGTCACATGCCAGGAACTTGTTGCTCAATACTAATGCTCTATGTCCCATTTTAGCCATTTGTCAGTAATTATTCTCAACTCCAACTGACATAATATTCTACTCTGCCCCAACTCCCTCTAATACATGGGTGCCCATTACGTCGATCGTGATCGACCAGTAGATCAGGGACTGGTCCCAAATCGATCCGAGGGGTGTAGAGGGGGGAAAAATAAATAAATAAACATTTGTGTCTCTGTGCATGTTAGTAATATATTTTTTGTGTTAATGCACACTGAACCCTAATCATTCTACCAGTCTCACTTTCACAAAAAGTAGTTAAAAAAGAAACTAAAATAAAGCGGGTCATCTTTAACCTACGGTGGCGTGTGACTGCGTCACCGGAAGTTGTTAGCGCTCAGCAGTCTGCAGTTGCAGCTTGTGCTCAGAGTTGTTTGCGCTACTCTTTTATCGTTATCAATATTCTCATTCAGAGTTTGTTTTGTACAATTCACCGAGGGGACGGGCAAAGAACGGGAGTCTGGAGGGCCGAGAGAAGCATTTTAAAACAGTACGCGTGAGCTACGATCGTTAACAGGCTGCAAAAGTGCGTCGCATGCCTCAGTGTCAGGCTATTGCTCATCATGGCATGCGTGTGTACGTGTGTGCGTATACGCGGTAACGGGTCGATCCCGGGAGGTTGGTTGATCGAGAAGTAGATATTCGGTCAAAAAAGTTTGGGCACCCCTGCTCGAATACTTTTTGATGTGTGCTAAATTTGGTGAAAATGCTACAGAAAGCTATACATTACTGCATCCCTATCTTGTAGTTAAATCATGCAATGAGATTAATGAATAAGTGGCTGCTAGTCATTCATGTCAAATGTGACATTGGCGCCTCACCTGTGTTATTTTAAGGAACGCTGAGCAGTTGGACACAATATTCCGATGTGACAACATCGCTCCCTTTGGGTTTCCTGAAAGCGCACATGCAAATAATAGCATATCTATTGAATACGGATGTGTGTGTGTGTGCGTGTGCGTGTGCGTGTGTGTGTGTGTGTGTGTGTGTGTGTGTGTGTGGAGTATGAGCATCACCTGTTGTTCCACTCGTAAAACAGATGACGCCCATATCTTCAGGTCTGGGAGGCTGAAGACATTGGATTAGTTAAAAAAAACTAAAATCCACAGTCATATATCCTTGTGATTGCTAATAGCCGCTTACCACAGGTTGGTGATAGTTAGCCTTTCCAATTGCCTGACCAACGAGAAAAAAATATATCAATTAAATCAAAATAGAAGCCAACAGAAATAGGTAAGTAGTAGTGAAAAATGAGGACAACAAAAACAACATCAGCAAAAGGACAATGAGTTGTTGGATGCAAAGCATAAACTACAAACATAAAGTGCCAAGTGGAAAGAAATGTCAGCAACACATGTATGATATTTCCAAACACTAAACATGAGAAAGGTCCAAGCAAGCTAAGAGTAAAGAGAAGCACTTTGCTAACCTCCATCTCGCGCAGGCTGAGGATGTCGATTCCAGCTTGCTTGCCTCTGTCCACCAGCTCATCGCTGGGAGTCTCGATGACAACAATGGTTTTCACAGTGTGTTTCCTGTCCTTGACGCAGTCAAGTACCAGGTTGACTTTATCTGCCACGTCGCATGCTATGGTTGAGATGGAGGCTACAGGAAACATCAACAAGGAAAACAAACACAATCAAATCACAGGCACAATCTACCGCATATACCGTATATGACCCAAAAAAACCACTTAAACCTTCCTGCAGTTTCTCTGATTAATTTCTATTACCTTTGTCTATAATGTAGTTGATGGCTTCCGTACCAAGGGTGTCATAAAGCGGGACAGAAACCAGGGAATAGGTGTAGCATGCCAACTCTGTGAGAGTCCACTAAATTCCCCACACAAAAAAGGGGTGACACCAATATGACGATTAACAGTTTTTAATTTGCGTGATATTTGAGTTGTTGCCAAGTGCAATCATTTTTACCTCAGGTCTGTTTTGGGAGAAGATCCCAATGTTGGGGTCAGTGGTCTTGGAGTGTCCTTTATGAAGAAAAGCGGAGCCAAGATTTTCCGCTCGCTCCATGACCTAAAATACGCACATTAAGTGTTTCTTTTTGCTCATTGTGACTCCATTGTGCAGTGCTATTCTACGTTGCATTTTGAGTGGTCATGAACGTGACAGCATCTGTCTCAACAGTGCTTTCACTGCCTTTCGGCTTTACTGCTGTCAAGGCATGTCTTACCTCTTGGTAGGACATCCATTCATAGGGACCTTTGGGTTTTCTGGAGCCCAGGAAAGGACCATTATCTCAAGGAAAAAACAAAATGAAACCACAAAATAAGAGATGCAATTTTGAACCGAAAAGTGAGGTTTACAACGTAATCCAATGATCCAATCATCCGTCATTTCTCTCTATTCTGCTGTTTCAAGACTCGGGTTTCGAAGCAGCTGATCGAGATCTCCTAAAACTTCAGAATGGAGGAGAATAATGCCAATAGCTACATACAAACTATCTAAAGACAGCAACATTTGGTGTCAAAATTGTAAACAGGTCACATAACAAATACGGCATCCAAATAAAATGGCGTTGACACAATGCCTCAATTGTGAAATCGTGAGTAAATTTTGAAAGGCATTTCATTTGCATTTTATTAAACTAGTCTCCTAAATCGACCGAGTTTGGGAAAACCATGCACGTGCCTAAAATACTTGAGAGGAAGAGTCAACTCATCACAACTGTTACCATGGATCATTTCAACAAACTATTTTACTTTTGAATGCAACTGCTTTGAATCATGTGTGCTTTGCTGTTTTGCTGCTGTTCTATGTCAGCCAACTTCTTCCTCTTCTCTGGGCTTGGGTCATAAGGGCAGTAGCTTAAAGGAGGAAGCCCACATTTGACATTTGCGCTGTTTCTCAAACTTCAGAGATGGCGCAGAATTTGGTTGTGTTGAGTGTATGACATCTCTCCAAAGTCATTCACTCCAAAATAGGGTGCAAGAAGAAGTGCTTGTGACCGCACTATAGTTCCCATAGATAACAGTTAGCCTTGCTTCCTCTTCTTCTTCTACAACTACTTTTTCTCCTCATTCTGGACACATGGGTTAAGAAAGGAGACCCACGATTATTGGTGGAGGTTTTGTTTTTGTCATCTTACATACAGTACACTACACACCGTAAGAGCAATAAGAACGCGTGACTATTTTATCCTCATCATGTCTTAAAATAAAAAGAAATTGGAAAACAGCTTAAAAATGTGTATGAACTTGTTATGTGCTACTTTATAGCAAGAGTGATGTATGGGCGTGTCAGTGGGATACATCACATCACTTACTGGATACTTGAGCGCCCCTGAGGAAGAATTCATACATTGTTTTGGCATCATCATAAAAATGCGTCAAGAGATCGTCACCGTTTAGCAGAGTTGATTGGTGCACAAACTCTCCACCCTGTGCAAAAAAAGCAAACAACAGTTCATCATCCGATAATTCCAAATTTGGATTTGTTTATGCATTCTCTTCAACATTTAATTCATACACAAACAACAGTGATGGGTTATAGTATAGGAGCTGATCCCTGTACCAGGTGGAAGAATATTTCACATGAAACGAGACCACAGTGATGAGGTTCAGCTTACAAACGTCAGAGGGCAAGAACATTTTCAAATGCGGCAACAAGCCTTGGCTTTGAACAGAATTGAAAAAAGAGCAAACGTTTGTTCACATCCAAGCAGAGTGACCCCAAACTCACCGGAATTTCGATTGACTGCATCTTGAGATCACATATGGGTGGCAATGTCTTTGGTCGTGTTGCCATGTAGAGGGTTGTTGCAGCTGTGATTGCCCCCATGCTGATTAATGTAGATGTGGACATACCCCTGAAGTACTGACTGAGAGAATCCAGATCTGGCAATCTCAGCTTCTGCAAGAACTCTTGGCTTGGCATGATTTCTGATAATGATGTATCAGCTGGAGGTGTTTAGGGTTTTCACTTGGTGGAGGTGGTGTGGTTGACAAGTGCAGGAAGAATTTGGACTCTGAAGCCCGGAGTGGTCTTAGGACACCCTGAGGTAGAGGAGTGTATGAAGTACTTTAGGCCAGGAATGTACCTGTAATGAGGAGGAAATTAGTTAATGTTCCTGTGCATAGTACTATTATAAAGTCCTCGCTGATTTTACTTTCAATGCCAGTTTGTGATCATTTCTTGCGGCACACCTGATGATCTCTTATCATAGCACAATAATGTGCCTTGGCACACTGGTTGGAAATCACAGTGAAAGATTTGCCTTCATGTAAAGCTTGAGAATGAAAAAAAATTCAAACCAGATTCAGAAATAACAGAACAACCACGGACAGGGATAATCAAAATAGATTAGATCAATCAGGAAACCGGTGACAATCTCAGAAAATTGTCGAATAGAAGAAAAAAAAAACACACTGAAAATAAAAATGACTGGTCTTGAATTTTATATTCAAAGACAGCCACTGTAGGTTAGTGTGTAACTTCAGTTTATTTTCAGTAGATCCAATTGTAACATTAATTTTACAGAATACATTACAAATCTAGTTTGACTGACTCCCACATGTGACACAAAAAAGTAATGAACTTATCATTGGACACCACTGCAATTATAAAGTTTCACGAGTGCATTTCTGTGCTTCTGATTTAATCTACAGGTGTTGTATTGTGGACCTACACGTTTGTTGTCGCTTTACAAATGTATTTGTTTTAAGATAAGAAAAGCAGAACTTTCTAAGATAAGTGCTTTGCACAACTTGAAACAAGTTGCTCTGTCCACTCAACTTTAGTCCAGTGGCCTCTGACCTCTGTGGTCAGCTGAGATGATTAAACTGAATGAAGTAAACACTGATCTTAACGTGAAGCATTACCCTGAGTGACGTAACTAACCCAGTTCAGACCTTTTTGAGGCACATTTCATTTAACATGTAACAGCATTAAAGCGCCACCCAAACTCTTGTGAAAAGCATTCTGCTTTTCAATCAAAACTAGTAACTATGTGTTAGTTACTGCGTGTGTGTGTGTGTTTGTGTGTGTGTGTATTCATTTTTGCCAAGTCATACGATACCTACTTACCTACTGATATACAGAAATGCAAGGTGAGGTCCATGAAACCATGTTAATTGATGACTTAGGCAAATTGGTTGCTCACACAACACTTAAGTATTCAAAATCAAAGTCCAACTCTGCAAGGTAGTGTTTCGCAATCGCTGCATAATGATTTGTGGACTTCCCAGCTTTTTCTCTCTAGCCATGATTGCTGTATTGTTTTTAAGCTCAGTGCGTCCTTAATGCAGTCTGAATGCTGTGACATTATTAAACCATTTCACACTGCGCGCAGAGACACAACGCTGTATTCTGGTGCCGAATTGATTATTTGTAAAACAAACCGGGTTGACAGAGCGGCTAATTTAGAAGCCAGGCAACACTGACACACATCAGTTACATCCCAACAGGATACAGTTCAATAAAGGCATGTTAGTAAATACATATGTTAAGAATTTCATCATGGTGGCGTCTCAGTTTTGCAGCAATGTTATTCAATGATGTGAAAAAAATAGCATGCACAAAATGTCACTTGGAAAACCTGCTTCTTAAAACGGGTAAGTACATGTTAGTGTCTTGGAATTGATTAGGGATGTTCAATACCACTTTTTTTTTTGACTGATACAATACCAAGTACTGATACCACTAGTACTTTTGAAAATTGAAATTTTGCTTAACATAATTATCTGTCTGCGATTGGCTGGCAACCGGATCAGGGGTTCCCCCGCCTACTGCCCGAAGACAGCTGGGATGGGCTCCAGCATGCCCCGCGACCCTTGTGTTGATGAGTGGATCAGAAAATGGATGGATGGAAAATTATCTGTCTTTATGAAGAAAGGCATTTCTTTAATTCTGACGCACACGATGATTTGTCAACATTTCAAACTGCAACAGTGTCGCACCAACTTATGGCAAGCAGGAATCACTTAATGTCAGATTTTCTTTCTTTTTGTCTTAAATCATGCCTACATCAGTAGCATTCAGTAGTATCTAATACAATGAATAAGGGGCAGTATCTCATTGATACTGATACCTGGTACCAGTGTTCACCCATTCCTTGACATTATGTAGCACTCTGTATTATGGAAAATGTGACCGGAATGTCAACATGTGTCCTAAGCATGATCAAAATTAGTCACACTTGTGTATACCCTTAAGTGCACAAAAACAAAGAGTGACCAGTATTGTCAACTTAGCATATATTTGACCACTTTTGCAGCCCTTCGAGCACCAATTTTTACAACAAAAAAAGACAAAAAAAACAGAGCTAAGAAGAAAATACGTCCACAATCAAATCATGGAATGCCGTTTCAGCATTTCTTGGATATCATTGATATCCCGACTAAGTAAGGTCCATCTACTAGTGCACTCTTTATCCTCACTAGTATGAGAACTTTGGCATCATAACACAATTAAATATTACTGGTGATGCAAAACTACAAATGGTGATTTTGGTGATACTAGTAGAATCCAGGAGGCTACTAGTGATTAACATGACTACTAGCTGGGCCTAGTAGTGATTTAATAGCTTGCCAACAGCCAAAGGCAGCAGCATTGGTGGAAAAAAAAAATTCTTGTTAGACACGGTTGCTCTCCTCGTGAACTGTGAATCACGTTAACTAAAATATGGATCTTAAGCTGGATATCAATGATCATTCCATGCGTGTCAACCAATCAGACAGGTCACCTTCCGCCACAGCAATTGAGTTACTTCGATGAGTGGACAGTAATTACTTGCCCACGTGTCCGCCGTAATCTTGTCTGGTGACGAAGTTCTTGTAACGTGTAGCATACCATATACTGTACTAACAAGCTAAACAAATACGTTGCACCTCATTGTAGACCTCTGAAAACCAAAGCGTTTACTCTTGACGACTCAATTACACCTGCAATTAAAACAGCACACCCATATAAGGCAAGCTTCACTGACTGCACTGTTTCTGTGAGGAACGCTCAAAACTAAAGCATACTAGAAACTAAGCAGCTAAAACACAATGAAAAGATCCGGAACAAGTTATAACGCTGCGTTACAAAGTCATGTTAACAGCAGAAAAATAGAGTACACGAGGAAAAAAAGTGTCTCTAATTTTACAAATTCTCAAAAGGGCAGTTAAAATGACAGCGCGTGTGCAGCAGCACAACTATGTGCTGCCCTTACTACACGTGTTACGATCCAGCGGTTTGTATTTGGCAAAAAAAAAAAGTGTGAAACAATTTTTAAAAATTGTAGTTCACAATAAAATACCTGAGGTACAATCGCGACGAGTTGACAACATACTGTTTTAGTTTCGGTGGTGGTTAAAAAAAGACAAGGAACTTCCCACCTGTTTGCAGCAGTCCTCCGCCCGGCTTCTTCTTCTTTTCTCGCTGACCACGCTTACTCTAAAAGTGGTGGGCGTGTCCAAAAGTACAACTTCCGGTCAAATCTTCAACGGTAAACTGCATTTCCGGTTAAATTTTATAAAATGCATTGCGTAACAGAAAACTAATGAGTTTAAAAGGGCAAATGAATGAAATTACTGATTGAATTTCAATTAAACATCTTCAGGAAAGACACAAAAAAAGCTCACGTAATGCTACAAATAAATTCAGTTTATTTCTGCTCATTTTAAATTATGTTATTTGTAATTGAAATAAGCAGCACAGTGATCCATCGGTGAGCGCATCCACCTCACAGTGGTTCAAATCTGGGCTCCGGCCTTCCTGTGTGAAGTTTGCATGCTCTCCCCACCCCTGCGTGGCTTTGCTCCGGGTACAGGTACTCCGTTTTCCGCCCACATTCCAAAAACATACATGGGAGGTTAATTGGACACTACTTATTGTACCTCGATATGATTGTGAGTTTAACTGGTTGGTGTTCATCTGTGTGTGCCCTCCGATTGGCTGGCAAACAATTCAGGGTGCCCGAACACAGCTGGAATAGTCTCCTCCATGTCCGCAACCCTCGTGAAGAGAAGCAGTACAGATAATTAATGGATGTATAAGTAATATATAATACATTTTAAAACCCTAAGATTTAATTTAATAGAAACATGTTAGTAATATATGTGAATTGGTCAAAATGAATTAATTTATCAAATGAGATCAATGAATAAAAACTAATCATGATAATTAATATTACAAGTCTCTTGATAATATACATGAATGCTCGTGGGCCAGATAAAAGAAACTAGTGGGCCGCAGCCATCTTGCCCAGGAGTATGGGGGGTCGAAGAAGAAAGTACCACCTAACAGAGGACATGTTTTCTCCCTTGATGGAGGTCAGCGTTTGTTTGCTCTTTCGATGTGAATTCTTCCATCCATTCTCTTTCATGTCCTCATGAACATCACCGGTAAGCTGAAAGCCTGTCCCAACTGACTTTGCGAGAGAAGAGTTTAATACCCTTCAACTGGTCGGTAATCCAAACCAACCATTTACACAAATTCATACCTCTGGCCCATTTAGTCTAGTCTTTACCTTGTTTTAAATTTATCACTGTTCAATTAGACATGTTTGACTCAGTCAGTTCCAGCTATGTACGGTTCCTGAAATTTAAAACTGGGACATAAGTCAAACCGCAATATTTGGCGCTTGACATTTGTCTTGCTTAATTTGGCAGCTAATACAGCCTTGAGTCATTTTGAGAATGCTGACAAAAGGTTGTATATTCTCTCCAGTTTGCACCTCCTGAGCACACTTGGCAAGCTTTCCATCTATAGATCCAAAAAAAAAAAATTACAAGAAACTATTCGTTGCAGGGCTAAAAAGTTGGTGGCCCATTCTTCTTATGATACTAAAATATCAAACATCGGTTTGATACTTGAGTCAGACTTGTTCTCGCGATCTTGAAGTGGGAAGTCATTCAATATAGCCATCCATCCATCGATCCATCCATCTGAATCGCTTTATCCTCAAGAGGGTCGCCCAGCTGTCTTTGGGCAATAGGTGGAGTACACCCTGACCTGGGTGGCAGCCAATTGGAGGGCACACATAGACAAACAACCATTCACACTCACAACCACACTTAGGGACAATACAGAACACACGTGTCAAACTCAAGGTTCGCTACATCATTTTATGTGGCCCGAAAAAGCTAATTATGTGCATTGGCTTCATATTTCATGTTAAAGTGCCAAAATTGGAAATTGTCTTCACTTTTAAAAATGTTGAGATATTGCGAGCATTTTTTGTGACCAATCCCCCCTTTAAAATTATTGTAATAATATTTGAACAAACAACTTTTACTGGCCTCTGATCATTCATCAATTTGCTGTGTATACACAATTTGAGGCGATCATACATTTATTTGGGTTCACAGCCATAAAAGGAACTCTGATGTGGCGCGTGACAAAAATGAGTTTGACACCCCTGATATAGAGTGTCCAGTTAACCTACAGTGCATGTTTTTGGAATGTGGGAGGAAACAAGAGTTCCAGGAGAAAACCCACACGGACGAAGGGTGAACATACAAACTCCACACAGGATATAATAGTTTTATTTTTTTGTCAGTGTAATCAACCAGCTCATAGTTTAGTTGAATTGGTTTTACATTTCAGAACTGAAAAGTGTTAGCACAACAATCTTGTCAAAGGTCTTACACAAGGAACATGATGGCCCTTGTCAGTGCTCTCACGGGCCAAGTCTGGGAAAGAGTGGATGTGTAATCAACTTACCCCATGTTACTGCAAGAACAATTTTGCTTTCAGTGGAAGAGGTCAATGGTCCACTGCTAATCAGTGATTGTTTCATGGGGACCCTGTTATCAAGCGGCAGGGTGGCACCTGGGAAATTCGAGACAACTCCTGAATGGTCCTTTCCGGACCAGCAAGACACTGCGATTTTCGTAATTATTATTATTATTATCATTATTTTGTGAATAGGCCCTTTTTACTTTCCAATTTTCAATACACAGCTATTTTTAATAAAACGTTATTCCAGACTCTGGGCGGCCCGGTGGTCCAGTGGTTAGCGCGTCGACCTCACAGTGCAGAGGTAGCGGGTTCAATTCCAGCTCCGGCCTCCTTGTGTGGATTTTGCATGTTCTCCCTAGGCCTGCGTGGGTTTTCTCCGGGTAATCTGGTTTCCTCCCACATTCCAACAACATGCATGGTTGAACACTCTAAATTGTCCCTAGGTGTGAGTGTGAGCGCGGATGGTTGTTCGTCTCTGTGTGCCCTGCGATTGGCTGGCAACCGGTTCAGGGTGTCCCCCGCCTACTGCCCGAAGACAGCTGGGACAGGCTCCAGCACCCCCCGCAACCCTTGTGAGGAAAAAGCGGTTCGGAATATGGATGGAAAATGGATTATTCCAGACTGCTGTTAACTGCCCCAGCAAGTTCATGTTTTGGTGTTCAATGATTTTATTAAAGTATATTGTACTGTTAGGTATAGCAATCTGATATGGACACAGATAATTCTTTCATCCTTCTAAAATGACCATTTGCCGAGAATCAATGACCATTTAGCAAAAATCAAAAGCTTTTTCATGATCAAAAAATGATTTGGTAAAGGAGCAGAGTTGCTCCAGGTGAACCAGTTCTGTGCACAGCTCTAACCTTTCCCCTCTTCCTTAAGGCAGTGGTTCCCATCTTTTTTTGGCTCACGTTTTTGTGAAACCATGAGTACCTCCTAACTCACACATGTTGGTGATTCTCAAAAAGTACAACATTAACACAATGGAGTATTAAGTGAAGATCATTTTATTTTGTTTCCGTAATTTCAACATTTGATTATTCTGCATTTTCTTCTTTTTAACTCAAACACAATTGCCTTGGAAATAAAAACACATTTTAAAAAATGAATAAAAATGAACCTGCCTTTGTGATACATACTCTTGCAACATTTACCACAAGAAAATGAAGTCCCTTTGAATAAGTCCCCTTTAAACAGGTATTTAAAATGTAAATATAGGAAACAAAACACTGAACCAAAATAATATTCAGACACGCTATAGAAGTTTATCTTTCTTTTCATCAGTCATCTAAGCTTCAATGAGACACTTGAGTTGACACGCGGATGTTAAGATATTGGCGTGGCTGTGCCACAGGTTACTGATCTGCTAAATAAATTATTAAATGTTTCCCCATGCCACCTACGCACACCTGGTTGGGAAACACTGCCTTAGAGGCATACACAGCATGTGTGAAAAAAAAACAAAAAAAAACATTTAAACATCATTATATAATTATAACATAGTTTCACTTGTGGGACAAAAATGTTTCTTTTATATTACGCCACAAAGCAATCACAACATTTGGAAGTTCCTTCCCATGTCAAGATGCATTTATTGGGGATAAAAAGAACCAACAGTGTATAAAGTGTGTGACAAAATAATTCTGAGACATATTAACACATCGTAATCAGTGCATGCAAGTGCATTAGTCTCTTTTCATTCTCAACTATGTGCTCATGAGACCAAGGACATTTTCAGGTCTTAACAGAGCAAAGCTACAACGTAATAGGCTTTGTGGTAGCTTGGATTTTATGAAGGAAAACATTTAAAAAAAATCATCCGTCTCCCTGAAGTTTATAGTCACAGAGCCCAATAAGAATACAAAATAAAGACAGCAATAAATTCATATTAATTTAATTGGTAAGCTGGCTTTCACACACCCGCCTATTGCAAACGCTTCTTGAAAAATAAATGTGTCATTTGACATCATAGCAAAAGGAGTCACAAAAAAAATAAAAATAAAAAAAAATAAAAAAAATCAAAAGTAAAATATAGTGACACCATAGTTGTAGTGATGTACTAGTTGGCCGTTTGCTCGGAATATACTCTACTTAACATGGTACTGAGAGAATGCTTTTAAATTAGATTTCCATTTATCAAACACACGCTTGGGCAAACACAAATTCGCCTTTGCAGTAGCTAAACATTAAAATCTGCGTTGCAGATTTGCCCAGTGTCAAGATAATAATTTACTTTGTCAAAGCATTTAACATAGTGACGTTAAAAAAAATAAAAAATTAAAAAATCTGGCTCCATTTTACTCAAAGAAAGCAGTGACTATTAGGATTTATTACAAATACCAGTTCATAGACAAATACTGAATTACAAACAAAAATTAATTTTAACATTAAAATATAGTCGAGTTTGTAATGCTGTTGAAATATAGGCAGCGAGGAGGATATCTGCTGAAGGAATGTGTTCATGCACATACAATACTTTTACACAAAGGAAAAAAATGTTGGTCGCTTTAAAATTGGTAATGGTTAAAAATGCTGTAAACTAAGGAATAGCAAAGAGTCATTTAGTTCATTTCAACAAGCACTTTCAGAAAACACATTACAGGAACAATGTTTCTCACTTACTTGCTTGCCTAACGCTTTGTTGAAACATCTCAACAAAGCAATTTAGTGTTTCTGTTTAGGAATGTTGTCCATGCAACACCAGTGTTATTTAAAAGAATTCTTGAGAGTGCTGCGTATATACAGTACAGTCCCCTCCAAAATTATGTGACCGGCAAGGTCAGTTCCTTTTTTTGGTTCTATCCTGAAGACATTTGGGTTTCGGATCAAAAGATGAATATGAGGCAAAAGTTCAGAATGCCATCTTTAATTTATGGTACTTACATCTAGATGCGTGAACCAACTCCGGACAGAGCACCATTGTTTTCGAGCCACCCGCTTATCAAATGAGCAAAAGTAATGGAACATGTGACAGATGGCTGATTCTAGTTTCTCAGGAGTTGGTTGTTTTTTTTTTAGATTGACTATTTATACAATAGATAGTGCTTGTTTTTGCCTTTGGATTTCACCTGTGAAAACTGCATTTGCTGCTAAGCAAACACGAAGAAGACAAGAGAGCTGTCCATGGGAGAAAAGCAACCCGTTTTGAAACTGAGACGAGAAGAGGGAAAATCGATGAGAGGTATCGCAGACATTGGTCATAGCCAATTTGGAATGTCCTTACAAAGAAAAAACGACTGGTGTACTGAGCAACAGACATCGTGCAGGCCGGCCAAGAGCATCAGTGGCAGTTGATGACAGACACATTGTGAAAGCTGTGAAGAAACACCCAAAGACCACAATCAGTGACATCACTGCCAACCTCCACAGGGCAGGGGTGAAGGTTTCACAATCTAGAGTTCGAAGACGACTTGACTTGGAGAGAAGCAATTCACAGGGCATACCACATGATGCAAACCACTCATCAGCAAGAAGAATTGGAAGGCCATATTGGATTTTGCAAAGAAGCGACGAGAAAAGCCGCCAACGTTTTCGAAGAAAGTTTTATAGACTGACGAGACCAAGACTAACGGCTACCAAGGTTTTGATGGAAAGGCCGATGTATGGAGAAAGAAAGGATCTGCTTCTGACCCAAAACACACAAGCTCTTCTGTGAAGCATGGTGAAGGGTATATCATGGTTGGGCTTGCATGGCTGCTTCTGAAACGGGCTCATTAGTCTTTATTGATGATGTAACTCGCGTTAGGAGGAGCAGAATGAATTCATCAAGCAAGATTATGACCGAAAATACATCGCCAACACAACAAAGAAGAAGGGAGGTATTAAGACTGTCCAAATCAATCACCATATCTTGACCTGATAGAGCAGGGGCGCCCAACCAGTTTGACCGGTAGCTTGTGGACTGGACCCAAATCGATTGCGGGGCTGTAGGGGGAAGTGGGGAAGGAGGAAGGAAAAAAAAGTTTTGTGTGTCGGTGTGCGTGTTATTTTTATTTTATATTTTGGTGTTCTGCACCCTGAGCATCCTATCAGTCTCACCTTCACAAAACGTATTTATAAAATCAAATAAAATAAAAAAGCAAGTCACCTTTAACCTACGGTGGCCCGTGACCTGCATCACCGGAAGTTGTTAGCAATCAGCATTCTGCAATTTCCGCTTGCAATCAGAGGTGTTGCGCTATATATTTTATTGTTATTATTCTCATTCAGATTTTGTTTCATGTACAATTCACCGAGGGTACTGGCAAAGAATGAGAAGCATTTTAAAATGGTACACGTGAGCTACGGTCGTTAACACGCTATAAAATTGCACCCCATGCCTCCATGTCAGGTCTCTACTAAGGTAGGCAGTGATTTCCTGTTCACAAACTCTTGTATCTACTTTATTTTTCTGTTTCGTTCATGTTAGGAGCCTTTTTTTTTTTTGCATGCTGTGGTTCTTGGCGAAGCCAGACGCTTTTTGCTCTGCTCCTGCAAATATTAAATAATATTCACTTTTAAGTAACTTTAATCATGTCCATTCCAATACTTTCACTCACTTGAAAAGTGAGTGCCTTCAAACAAAAAGTGCTCTATTTTAACATATCAAGGTCCTGTCCAGATACCCACAATAGGCCCCACGGTCCTCAATGAAGTGTACACCTAATAGTGCACAAAGTGTTCGGGAGCAAAGGTTACAAGTGTGTAAAAATTGCAGAATTGGGAGAGTGTGAGTTACGTCACCGTTTCTGCCCCACTGTGTTGGATATGAGTCATCAAACATGGCCACACCGGTTGTTGTTTTGGCAATTTTGCTGCTTAAAATGCAATTAAAACTGCAGTAGAGTAGTAGTAAAAGTAAAAACTTGGGCTCGGGGTCCCATTCGATGGCAGCAATGGCTCCAGGCCTGGATTTGCGATGCAGTATTTGCGGCCTCCCGCACAATCTACGGAAGGTCGCTAAGTATGCCAACCGAAACAGGGCAAAATACACAGGTGACTTTAAAGCTTTGATTGAAATTACACACGTACAAATGATAAACTATTTAATATGTCGATACTTAGACTTGAAAACACGCTTTTTAGGCCACATGCACAGGAATTCTACCGTTATTTTGGTTAAATCCACAATAAATTGTGGATTAAATGCTTCGGCTGAGGGCACTGGGATGTGGGCTCAGCCGGAGTGCGGACCAAGGGCGCAAAAAGGGCGAGGTAACAGAGCACTTTAGAGAGTTAGGAAGCCTTACACACGCGCACCCTCAGTGGGAACACGCAATTGAGGTGGAAGTGTGAGCATTTGATCACAGCTCTTGATGTAAATACCATGAAACAAAAGCGGAATCCTGAACTTATCTCTCATATTCGTTCGTCTTTTGATCTGTGAATTATAACATCTTCAGTGTAGAACAAAACAAAGGACTTGACCTTGCCGTTCCAACGCTTTTGCGGGGGACTGTAGTTTGGAGGTAATCAGGGGCAGAAGGAACAGTGAACACCCCCCGTCAGGTCAGTGATGGTTCCCTCTTTGATCAGACTTTTAAGGACTTTGGTCTCTTCATTCACATTGTGCATTTTCTGCCAAAGCATGAAGCTCATAGGCAGCTGATCATAGTAATGCATTGGAATCCTTTCCTGGGACAGGTTGTAGCCAAAGCCCGCGAGGCTCACCTCGTCACACAGCAAACTAGCTAAATCCAGTGCAGAGATTCCCAGGGTGGGTACATTCTACGGAACAAGATGAGAACAAAGAAGAAACATCATTCCAAGGATTCAATCAGTGTTACAGATCTTTGGGAATTGATCAACGTATCAAATATGTTGGAGTGCTCTGCTCCTTCGGATGGCACCACTTGCAAGAAATTATTTAGATTCCTTCAAAATCTCATCAGGTGCCAACTTACTCCCTTCATGTATTGTGAAATTGAAAAATGGCTTTGACGATTGCAATCATGGACACTTTGCACCTTTGCAGATACAGTGTCAAATGCTTATTATCAGCTATCCAAGTAACATAAAAAGGAAAAAAAATCTGAAATGTATGCGAAACTATTTTTAGATTAAGAGGAAAAAGAGTTTATATGTAATGGTGAGTTGTTTCAGTCATCTCTGTCGAATAACTGGTGGGATGTGAATAATGGGGACTACTACTACTACTACTACTACTACTACTAATAATAATAATAATATCATAATAAACTTTTCGAGAAATGCAAAAACACAAATAAGTGTACAGCTAAAATAGTAACAGAATTTCTCTTCATAACACTACGAAGAATAAAGACCATTCAGATTCAGAAACAAAAATGACAGTGTTTAATAGTTAAAAATTTTCAATGTGACGTGTATCTTTCTATTTTTCTGGCCGTTGGAGGAAAAAGTTTGGACACCCCTGCTCTCGTGGCTCGTTAATCTATACCACATATGTCAAAGTGTCGTCATCATGCTATTTAAAAATAAAATCTTCATCTGACATTCGATCAGTCCGGCCCTCGGCTTGCAGCAAAAATTTTTATCTGGCCCTCCGTCCATTTGACTTTGACACCCCTGATCTATACTATAGACTTAATATTGTCTTAATCATGCTATTTAAAAATAAAATCTTCATCTGATGAAAAATATATCGCTGTTCTGAAAAGTGTCTTTACCTGGTCCCAGCCCCACAAGCGTGTTGTAGGCGGGGAGAATTTCAGTAAATCTAAAGCCGTTTCTTTGATGACGAGTGGATTTAAGAGTCTGAACCTGTTCCGTTCAAGGGGGATTTCCTCTGGAACATTCTGCCAGAAGAAGAGCCAGTCCCACAATGACTGCAGCAGAAAACACACATATGTTGTTTCTTAATCACAGATGCTGCAACAGTGATAAATAGATGCACACAAGTAGAACACATGCGTCTGCAAACCCAATGCAACATAAGGACGTGTTTAACAGGGTCGAAAAAAGACAAACAAACTACTCCACGGGCTACAGCTTCTCGACCAAATTCAGCAATACTCAAATCATTTTCTACCAATAACACTATATTGTTGCCACAATGAAGAGATGTCTAAGATCTGTAACATTTCTAGGGATGGACTCTCTGTGAGAGGTGTTTCGAATGAATATTTTAGCCTGAAAATACTTTTTCGTAAATGTACTGATTTTGTTATGTAAACATGTCAATTTAACTTAATAGTACTTTTGGTAAATGTATTGGTAATCGTTGTGTATTGTATTTTATTCTTATTCTTTTAAGGGTGACATTAACCATCTGTAAAGGGAATGCAGATGAAAAATAGCCTTCTTGCTAACTCTGGCACATTCACTATTAAAATGTACTCTCCCTGATATAAAGACATAAAGAATTGAAATAAAAAAAATGAATAATATAACTCAAAGAAGTACAAACACCAGTCCTCACCACGGTGAGCTTGTTAATCATTGCGGTGATCCAGCTGACATCTACACTTTTATAGACCACAGCTACAAACACGGTCTCTGGGTCTGTGTCAAGCCAGTGAGTGGGGGTGCCTTCTGGATAACTTATCCTGAGGCTGGTTCGATTCCCAACATCAACACTGAACTCTCCTAGAGGACCGCTGTTCAACCTGGCGATTGCAGGACACAAGAAGGAGGCAGAGTCTTACATTTGCAACACATCAATTCAGTCACACAGATACTCAAGGGTGTCTTAAAGTAGCCTTGACTGGCAACTGTGATAAATTCAATTGAAGTTTGTCTAAAATGCGCATTAACCTTTAAAGGTGAAGTTAATTTGACCGCTAAAGTTTTGAGTGTGCATGACCAACTGTTCAATTTTTCAGTACATTTTACATAGCTTGTTGTTTTCTAAAAAGAAGCTAAATGGTAAAAATCGCAATGAACCTTCTATATATTTCTGTGACTCTTTCTGTCTCTCTGTATCTCTATTGGAACCTGCTGAAGTGACCCATCCATTGATTAGAAATTATTATTTAACTTTTTTTTGGGGATGGGGTTACTAAAATATTTCCTTTATTATTACAGACACCTGAATACTCACTGCTCGGCACCCGCATTCAATTTTTTTTTCTCCAATTTAAAATTTGGTTGTTGGGTTTTTTTCTTTTTTGGGGGGTAGACCCAAATTTTTGTGGGAAATTTCTTGGTACGTATTATTATTATTTTTTTCTCCCCCGAGGCATTTCAGTCCGTGACAATTGAAGACATATTTTCGCGATTCAAAATGAGTCCTTGCACTTAATGCTGATTTGCTGTTCAGCAGCTTTTTTTGTTGTTGTTGTATGAGTGCCCTTTGCACCGGGAAAAAATAAATATATAAATAAATCGGTTTTGGGTTACTTAGTTAATTGTTCAAACCCGATGTTGTTGAAGGCTGGATCTTTTATATAATACATGCATTGAGAAATGTATTATGAAAATTATTAACATGTATTTTTATCCAAATTTAAAATTGTATATTTGTCATACGTCTGGAAGTGCGTGGTCATACGTATCAATGTTGAACTCAAAGTTCAAATCGATTATTTGTAAACCTTAATTTTTGACACAGCCAACCCAATATCGTATGGAAACAATATACAAACAATCCTATACAATAATTTTTTGGGGAAGTGTACCAACCTTATAATGGTGTCGAAACGATCAATGAAAGGACCCAGCTCCAGGCCTTTCAAAATACCTCCATTTCCAATGACCACACAGCGCCGACATGTATCAGGACCCGTTTTAAACAAGGGTGCTTCGTTGGACTCTGGTAGCTTTGAAAATAAATTAGCATTTTAAAAATTTATACACAACACTTAGCTGCACAAAAAATAATATTATATCTTTTTGAAAAAGTCATTCCCCAACAGTGCAATAAACACGACAAACTGTTTGGAATGATTCATACGCAATTATGAAAGTGCTGATCCCCAAGTGGAGGATATGTAAAATAAATGACTCGAAAAACACAGATCACCTGCTGAAGCAGAGAGGGTATTTTTCCCCGAAGACCTCTGAAACCAAAGGGGGGTGGATACTTGAAGAGGTTGCTTGAAAGTGGCGTGTTCTTCCACAGGAAGGGTTGGGTCATGTGACTGGAAGCGGGGAGTCGAGCAAAAAGCCCCTGCCTGGTGCTTCCACGATGACATTCACGCTCCAGTACTTTTTGAACATGTTGGTGCACTAGCTGCAACGCAGGAAACTTTATTTTAATCACAATCGCAAAGACAAGATAATTACGACGACAAGCCACTACATTATGAAGACTTGCACAATCTAAAGAGACAAGGTCTTACAAACCATTTGTTTATTATTGTGGTTATACTGTACTACATCATGCTGAGAGCTGTTCCTAATAGGTTTACTCTAATTGTGTAAAATCTTGTGGGGAAGGTAGAGGCTAAGGGTGAACGTCTCTCCCTTGTCAGTCACCACAAGGTATCAATTTGCTTGTCACTCGAACATAGGAGCATTACCTCTCAAGGCAATGTCATAAAATAGAGCTCCAGAGGTCTCAAAGAAACACCTTGCAGTGAACACGCACCTGTCCGCAGTTCGCTGTTCAGGATTTCATCCATTTGGGTTTTTTTTTTCCTGTCAAACTATCCTGAGCTAGCTGAAAAACTCACTGATTCATGTATTTTCTGCTCTTCCTGTCACTCTGTAAAATACCACAAAGATCTTTTTTAATCAAAGCTGCTACCAAGGCCCTGGTTAACAGGAAAGTACTCCAGTTATTACCCGTTATATTGCGGTACCTAACGTAGTACCACAATGTCACTATTTTATGTTAAACAGTTTTCAATTTTCTACTGGGGAAATTCTTTGTACAGTACACTGCAGATACCTGGAGTACATAAAAGTTTTTTAAGGGGGCACAACACACTCCCTGGCCTAATGGAGAAGCCTGTTGAGACCTGCGTTCCAAGACAGCATGAAAAATGGTTGGGCATCTGACATTAAAAAAAAAAATTTGCCTAACAAATTATGCGAGCTACTTGCGCCGGTGCCTCCTGATGGACAAGCCGAAAGTCATAACATTCATCACGGTTACCATACACTGCCTGTTTTATTTGAGAAAAATGTGTCTGATGTCATAGAATGCAGATTTGTGGTGAATAGATTGGCACATTGAGATTGTCTTTCCGTCATTTCTTCCCATGTATCCTACATAAAAGTAAATCTGCTTGAACGTTGAGTAGGAACAACAATGCATGCTCACCTTTTTATACTCAGGGCTGACATGCCAATCGAGAGGTTTCAGTGTGTCTTTCCCAGACCGAGATGAAAGTATCACCAGACACAGCACACAGAAAACTCCCACCAATAGAAAGGCACGTCTAGACAAACAAGCACACACAAAACAGAATTTTACTTTGCATTACCTCAATTTCCTTGCCAACCCTTATTTTAACATACATTAATGTAAAAAAAGTGCTATATAAACATCACCTAAAGAACACAACAACTGTCACGTGCAATGCAATGAGACCGTAATTCAAGACAAATACAACAAATAATAACCCGAAATTCAAAAAGTCAGAAGTGGTTGAGGAACGTTCCTGACATTGCCTCTGCTCTCTTCCTGAGTACGTAATACGTTAGTTTAATTAACACCGCTCGCATCCGGCGTGTTTTACTGACAGAATCATAATTGAACCAGACACACCACAATGCCTTTCTAGTGTAGCTACCTGACCACATTCCAACTACTGGTAGACAACAGGTCGAAAAGACTGGCTCGGAAGGGAAATACGAAATGAGCCATGGGTGTTCAACAATCCTACCAATGGAATTGCTCACACCTAAATCAAAGTGTTAAGAGTCCACAGAAAGTCCTTAAACAGCTTGATATAGCCAAACTGAATTCATAAGTTAGAGCATTGAGAATCAAAATTGAGCTATCTTTAAAGGGAAAGTCAAGTCAAGCATTTTCTTTGTGATAATACAAAGTATGTTCTATGCGCACCGTCTAGTCTAAACATGGCATTCTGATTAATAATGTTTTCATGGGATAGGTATTAAGCAGCAAAATCCACTACTCTGTAATTTCACCTTGTTAAAACTGGCTGATATTTGTGTATGAAGTAGCCTGGCGGAAATAAAACAATGATTGATCATTTTTCTGTTATTCATGTTCACATTTATTTGTTGTTTTATCGATTTCTATTTGAAAAGTAGTTTAATTTATTTGAGTGACATGCATCTCACCTGGGTGCTACCCAGCGTTTTGGGAGCTTCATGTTCCCGGAATTCACACCATAATAGGAGGTGATCTGCTTTGCGTGATGAAGCAAGGATCTTGTTCTGTACATGGGAGAATTACATTTTGAACTTGGTAAAGAAGTTAGTAAGCCATGCATCCATTCTGTGCTGCTTATCCTACTCTGGTTGAGAAGTGGGGTCCACTCTGGACTGGTCTCCAATCAATCACTGAGCACATATAGACAGGCAACAATTCACTCACGTTCACACCCTCTGGAAATTTAAGAGTCTTCAGTTAACCGAGCAGCATCTTTCTTATTCTTCATTTGGCAGTAAACCACAGTGAGTAGACAAAACAAACCCACACACGGAAGAACATGCAAACTCCGCAGAGCTAGGTCAGAGTCAACGTTTGTCAAAGTTTTGACCATTGACTGTGTAGTAGACTTGCAAGCCATCCAACGTAACTGTACCAACACTCAGACTCCAGCTCTCCCTCATCTCATTTTATACTTGTGTCACCTTTGCTTAATGTTAAAAATATTTTATGTGGTGCTCATCAGGTATGGGATTGTTTTTCTCTGTGAGTGGGATGGGACAGGAGTGAAAATGCACTACCGTGTCAAAATGCTTCTCTTTGCTTTTACTTGTCACTACACAGCCGCACACTTCTTCACGGAGACTTTCCTCGTTTTGTCACGGGCCAATCTACATTCATATTAATTCTAAATATCGACACGTGCCTTTTCATATACAATACTCTGTCTTAAATCAGCTTTAAACTGGGCGAAATTAAGATCTCTGTAACTGGAATTATACTGGAGATAAAACAATTATTGTTTTGAGTTCGAAACGATCGTTTTAACCGCTTTCTGGTGAATTCAAAATGTCACAATTACCTCAACATATTGACACAATTTATACACAGTTTGCATCTTTTTTGGAAGCTCTTTTCAATGACACTCGTCTTGCTGATATATATATGTACAGGATATATAAAGAGTAGACCATTAGCACAGCATGATTAAAGGATCATGTGTGAAGTTGTGTTTAAATAACCACGATTACAATTCCCGTCGCAGATTTTTCACGATTTGGGAGGGCGAACACGAACAAAGGGGTCATACATACATTTTCTGAATCATATTCAAAACAGGTTGGGTTTCAAATCTTCGGCTAATGTGTTCCAATACTGTAGCTCTATCTAACTTAGACATTTTACTGCCGCCAGCCTCCTTTTTGTCCTTGCAGATCAACAGATTACCTTATAAAACATCATTGAAGGTTGAGCACCTGTCGTCAGGTTTTTGGGGGGCTTACCTTACCATGGATCCCACTACTTCATCGTGTTGGGGATGTTGCGATTCGAGATCATTTTTTGAAATTATATTGATCCAGAAACATTCTCACGTCTATGCTCGTCTTGGCTGATTCCCGCAGTTACAATGGGGCGTCGAGCATTCCAAACCACACAAAATCACGCGAGATTATAACAAGCCTCTGAACATTATTTTACCTGCGTGAAATGCGTTGCAGATTTTATTCTGACTAGTAATACTTAGTTAAATGCTTATTTAATTCACATTCATTCAAAATATCGACACGTGCCTTTTCATATACAATACTCTGTCTTAAATCAGCTTTAAACTGGAATTATACTGGCGATAAGACAAACTAGACCATTCATTCATTCATTCTACGAACCTCTTGATCCTCACTAGGGTCGCAGGGGGTGCTGGAGCCTATCCCAGCTATGTCTGCGCAGTCGGTGTGGTACACTCTAAACTAGTTGCCAGCCAATCGTAGAGCACTAAATGCAAATATATCGTCCCTACAGTTAAATACAATACAGTAATCCCTCGTTTATCGCGATTATTATTTTTTTTAATCCGCAAACGGTCCGCGAGAAGCTGCGAAAGTCAGCCAAACAACAGCGAGTCACATAGAGCAACATAAAGTGTACTGTACTCCATGTATATGAAAGTAAAAAAATAAAAAATTATGAATATGTTTGAAAAAATCCACGATGCACTGAAGCCACGATAAACGAACCGCGAAATAGCGAGGGATCACTATACATCCTGATTTATATAGGCTTTCACAACAGCTGCAGCTGTAACAAAGCGCTTAACAAAACAGTTAACATCAAGTAAAATAATAAACACAACACATAAAACACAGACAGTCATGCAATCCTCACCACTTTACCCTCATACGCTTTGTTTTTTAAAGCAGGTTGAGATAAAACAGGAGAGAATCAAATTGTCCTTTCACCAGTGGATCAGAGACGTCGTGCTCAAAATGTGCACAGGACACACGTCGGCTACAAGCTAAGTTTCAAAGTCAACAAGAAATAAAACCGAAGGGTACATAAAATAATTATTTTATGAGATAAAGAATACAAGTTCAAGCCACTGTAATGAAGTTATGATGCGGTTTTCAACATTCATTCAAAAAAGCGGTCGAAGAAAAAAATGTATATTTTACATTTATTGTTAACAGACAAAACAGAGCCTGTCAGAAAACATTCATCTTGGGTAACAAACTGCACTGTATAAATTCACCTTAATCTAGTGATTCAGGCTAATTAGATAATACACATTTCTAATTATGTATTCATTAATTTAGTTTCATCCAAACATGTCATGGTAACCCTGTCTCATGTACTTGAGACGTGAGGTCAATAATAGTTTTTTTTTTCATGCAACCAGAACATGAATATTGTCATGATATCCAATGAAAAGCATGACTCTCCAAAATGTGTACAATGATTTCACAAAGCAGTGTCTCCTCTACTGCAGGGGTTGTTTGAGCTCAAAAAGTCCTGTTCCTCCTTTGACCACCTTCCCCACCACGAGGCAAGCTGATGGCGACACGAGCTGATCACAAGAGCCTGGGGAGAAAAAAAAGTCAAGAGCATAAAATATGACTTCAGACTCCCTGTGTTTAAACATATTCGGTATTGTAGTCCTCAGCATTTTGCTTTTTTTTTTAATCTGTCATAGTGAGCAAGGAATCCACCAACTCTGACATTAATTATGTTTCACTGTTTTATATCTATCGATCGATGTTTTTTTTTTCAAATAATGACCTGAAAAATTGCCCTAAACATACCCTCAGGATACCACCTCAACAAATTAAACAGATCAGATTAAAAATTATGAACATCATATATTCAAAAGTTGGTCCATTTTTTCGTGTTTTCTGAAAAAATGACTTAAGCTATAGGCTATTATTTTAGGAACGTGATGATATTTATTTGAACAGTTTTCAGTTTCTTGTATTGCTACTGCCAAAATCTTTATGGGGCCTGAAGCAGAATTTCAGTGACCACAGCCTCACATCTGTGCTTGACTTCTATAAATTCAAGTGTTACACTTTTACATAGGGTTTTGCGTTTGTGACACCTCATTCATTTGTTTAACGTGTTTTAAAAAATGATCACACTTTTTGAGGACCCCCCCACCCCCAAGCAGCCTCTTAGTGTACCGGTGCCTCTGCCAGCTCTGGCTGGGCTAAGATACTTAAGTCGACCAACAACAAACTGGACTGGTCGACTAACACGGACACCCTGATTAGGAAAGGTCAGAGCAGACTTTTCCTACTCAGGAAACTGAGGTCTTTTGGGGTTCAGGGGTCACTCCTTAAGACTTTCTATAACTCGGTGGTGGCCTCGGCCATCCATTATGGCATTGTCTGCTGGTCAGGCAGCATCTCGGCCCGGGACAGAAAGAGACTGGAGCGACTGGTCAGGGCGGCCAGTTCTGTCCTGGGGTGCTCCCTGGACACTCCG